CTATAAAGGGAAATAAGTCATTCTGACTCGCTCACTAGTTATATATATAATATACCCAAAAAACCATAACACTAATCATATCATATCAAGTGAATTTAATGCTCACTAGGTGCTCTGTTATTTTAACCTTGTACCATTGTTGTAATATTGTTGAAAAATAAACAAACCTACCCCATTTTTTTAAAGTGGGATTCACCTTGTACAAGAACTGAGAACCACTCAAGGTAGAGGGTTACAGAGTAGGAGGCACAATTTATGAGGATATGTGGGGAAGATAATGGTTAACCCTAGACTTGAACAGGTTATGTTATTGGGGAAGCATCCTCTTGGGAGTCTGTTGCACAGAGCAGAGGTTCATGGGAAGAGGCTGCTTGAGTGGAACTTACTTCTCACCAATGGAATATGGAGAGAATGTTGGTGGTTTGCTACAATGTGCATGGCTTGGTGGGAAGAGAAGGGTTAAGAGAAGAAAGAAAGAAGAGTAAAGAGATAAAGAGGGGGAAAATACTCTGAATCATCACAGATAGAAGGAAATGAGACAAGGAAGAAGTACCAGAGTTTGTTAACTTGAAATGAGGAAAGAGAAGAAAGAAAATCAAAGGAAATTAGTAAAAAGAAAGGAAAGCTAAAAAAAGATGGATTTAACAGAAAAAAAAATCTAAATTTATATTGTTCCCCTGCAAGCAACAAAGAAATAAAAAAAAAGAAAAAAAAGTCAGAAAGCAGATGAAAGAAAAGAAAGAAGAAGAAAAAAAAAAGAAAGTATAAGATATCTAATTGAATCCACTTGACCACAATGACCTCCAGAAGATAAGGGCTTCATATGTTGTTAGATCAGCCATTAAATTTGTAGTACTAAGGGAAGTCCTTGTCTCTCTTTTAGGGGTATCTTTGAATCATAGAAAACATTTTTAAGATATTAAAACAAGAAAAATCTAAAAAGTCATTTGGCTTTGTGGCAATTTTTCTTGCTATTATCATTATGATTTTTTATATCCACATAAAGTTGAAAATTTCCTTTTGCAAGAATATGTCAATGTTTTCAAGTCACATGATAACCATCATTGTCATCATCATTGCCATAGACAATAAGAGAGGGAGAGAGAGATGCAAAACTAAATCCAAGTAACAAGACAGTTTTTCTGAGTTGGGTACCATCTTTTTCTCTTCCCATGCATCAGGGGTGGAGAACAAATAGGCAAGCCCCTCACAACATAATATTAGGGACTGAATCATTGTATGAAAAATAAGATTGACTGATGCTCATAATAATGGATTGAATGTAACAGGTCATAATTAAAATCAATATGAACTGAAAGAATATCTAAAGATGTTACCATAAAAGCAAGCTCATCTCTCAAACTAGTGAATTTAGTTAATCCCTCAGTGCTTCCCAATTGTTCCCTTAAAAAAGGGGGGGCTGTTGTATCAGATTAAACTCATTGATATTTCTAAAACCCTTAAAACATTTAAATCTAGTTGGTTTTTATTTTATTCAAAGAGCTTTAAATGATT